CCCCCCCCCCCCCCCCAACACCCCGCTTATGCAAGCTTGTATGAGTCTTTGAAACCCTTCATGCAAGCATTGCAATTGGCGGGGGGGCTGCGCCGCCTCCAACCCATCGGCTGTTTTAAGCCGTGCATGCTTGCTTCTGCTTCAAATTGTCCCCCTGGCTCATGAAATCATTAGAAAATAGAGTAAACAGAGGTTATCCTATGAAAGTATGGGGAAATTATGGTTTTCCTTTGAAAACCTATTATAAGGAAAAAGAATAGAAAAGAGGAAATTAGGGTTTGCTTGTCCCTCGCTTGTGCAAGCTTGCGTGACAGCATATGAGTCTTTTGAAACCCATCATGCGAGCATTGTGTTTGCAGATAGGGTGCGCCCCCAACCCCCCCGCTGTTTTAAGCCGTGCCAGCTTGCTTCAAAGTATACGAGAAACCCATTCTGCGATCATTCTGTTGGCTGCGACCCCCTGACTCATGAAAACATTCGAAAATAGAGGTTATCCTATCAATATACGGGAATTTGTGGGTTTTCCATTGAAAGTGTGTTGCGAAGATAATAGAGGTTTTCCACGGTCTGCCTATAAAATACAGCGAAAATAGAGGCTTTGCTATTGAAATACACAGAGCCCCCCCCCCCCCCCCCAACCACCACGAAACAAAGAGGCCAAACAACAAAAATCAACGGCAGACACAAAAAACTCCACCAGCACCCGGCAACGACAACAAGAAATGCGATGGGAAGCGCAACGACAGCAAACAAAAGCGCGCCGGGGACCGCAACGATAGCAAACAAAAACGCGCCAGGGACCGCAACGACAGCAAAAAATGCGCCCCCGCAGCGACAGCAAAAAAACAATCTGCCTCCGCAACGACAGCAAAAAACGCGCTCCCGCAACGATAGCAACAAAAAGCAACGACAGCAACACAACAAAACCCTCCTGCCGCATTTAAGGTCACATATAAGGCTAAGAAGTTGCGATTACAGCTGGACTTGCCGAATCCTTGCAAGTAACACCAAGTAACCTTTTACAACATCGCCAGCCCAAAGGAAGAGTTTGGAGCCCTTCCTGGAGTGGAGCCAATACCTGGACTCCCGGGTCCCGAGGATAAGAATAGCTCCTGGGCAGCGAACAGAGCATGTCATAGTCACCTGCAAGGCGGAGACAGCCGACTCAAAGGGTGGGGACATTCGGAATCATGCAGAGGCAGCTGTTAGTCAACTGCAGGTTGTCACTCCCCGGTTTCCGACAACCGATGCATTGATCAAGAGCTGAAGCTTGCCCACGCGGCTCCGCTGGCAATGGGTGGGCTAGACGTTTGCTAGATTGCATGGTGGAGCCCGGCTGATGCTCGAGGCCTGGGACTGCGTGCAGCGAAATTCCAAGAGTGTCCAGACTGAGGCGCCCGATTGCATGGCGATGTTTGTCGTTTGATTCTAAAATGGCTAATGTTTCATGATCTGTTTCATGTTGCCAACTATGACATCACGGAAGCTGAGACGGCTCCGATCTTCCGCGATTGCCTTTGCAGGACAATGGCGATGTGCCCAGAAGCCGCGAGGCAACCAGAGATGTGGAGGCAGGGCCTCGGATGCTTGTGGTCCCAAGGACCATTCAACAAAACATGTTGCCGTCCGCCACAGCATGTTGCAATCGTCTCGCTACCGTGAAACGGACATAAAGTCGTAGTAGAGTCACATAAGTGTCAGAAGAATTGTAGCAGTGCGGCTTGCAGTTGTTCCCAACCTGTGAAACTTTGCACAATAGAGAGAATCAAACTCGAAAAACTGGAGTGCCGGGATCTTCTGCTTGTTGGCGCAGGCAAGCAGCCGCGTTCACGCGGATGCATTCTTGATTTTTTGCATGCGGCCGTCTGCCCGCGCGTTATTCCAGCAGTCTGTGTTTGTTTGTCTGTATGACTGGCTTCCTGCCTGCCTGCTTGCCTCCATATAAGTGCACGGATACGAGATGTAAGTATCTACTGTAGCAGCTAAAAATCTACTGTAGCAGTTTGGGGATCCAGTTTCGTGCGCTGCAGTGCAGACCCTGCTCAAACAACAATATCTCTCTGTGTAGGGTTCTGGGTACGTACATACGTACGTATGTATGCATATGCCGGACTTTGCGCTGAACGGAGGAGCAAGCCAAAACCTTCCGCCTACGAGCTATGCTGTAGCAGCACTTCGTGTGAAACAGGTGTTCCAGCTAAGGCTATGTCCTGCTGCCGTACCGTTTCGGATTGGTCGCCCGCTTTCGGTTTCATGCTCTTGTTCGCGACGACATGAGCCCATTTTAGAAGCTGCATCTGGAATCTGTTTGTTCCAGCAACACACTTCGAAAATGTTGACACTTGCCCGCAATGGCTACAAGTGCATCGAACTCTCAGCCAGGTTCACTGGAGACGAGCGCGAAACTTGTCACGAGCAGGGATTGCCATGCGATCGCTGCTGCAAGAGATTCGTGCCGGGGCATGAAGTCAGCAGTGCACGCCGTGTCAGAGACGCCCTTCGACTTATCGGATGCCTTTCTTCTTGGTAAGGTGAAGGACGTGCGCGGCTCTGCGAGAGTGAGTCGCCCGTGCGTGCGGCAGTGCGCGTGCGCAGTTGGTCGGATGCTACCGTGACTTGGAGTTGAAAAAGGGCCGTGACGTTCCGATGGCACGCGGCACGCGAGAATCTCAGGTGATTCCGTGCCCCGAAGGCATCCATCAGAAGCACGCAGAGGCCAGTGAAAAGACCATTTCAGGCCGAGGTAAGGCAGTGCCACTCTGCGAAGCATTGCTGCTGAGCTCAGGCCTCAGCCTCAAGCAGTTCGCACGGATGGCAGCGGGCCAGACAGCTCGCTCGGACAGTCAACGTCATGGGGCACCTGCTCGATGATGTCCGCTCCAAGCAGACTGAGTGTCTCTGCATGACTTGGGACTGCTGTAGCGTTAGCTAGCAAGCCGACGAAGATCCAGACAGCTAAGCAGCTAAGCTGTTGTCACTGAGGAGTGTTTATTCCACCGACTGGACTCGGGTACCCCACTCGTCCTCGCCTGCTGCGAGGGCCCACTGGCACCGCTTGAGAAGTGCCGCTGATACCGGGCAGGTTTTTCAGAACATGCTAAATGGTGTGCGGAGCCGGCACACAGAGGACATGTACAGCAGGGACTGGACCAATCCCTCATCCCAGAGTGGTCACCAAGCATCACCAGGCTCAGTAGTGACGGTTGGAACTTAAGTTTCCTACAGCAGCCTGCATGTTGACAGTGTGCTTGTGTGCTCTGTGTCGGGCAGATCGGAGCAAGTCTGTGCATGAGGTTGTGAAAGGTTAGGATAGAAAGGTTGCAAACGCAAGCGCTGCAACATGCCACAGGTGTCGCAGGGAGCCATTGTATGATGTCACAACGGCATCAGCAAGCGATGTGCGCATCTGCACATGTACCGCTCGCACCGTCAGACTAGATGATGCTGATCAACGTTCCTCAGTGCTTGTCGTGGACGGGCAGTATCTTCAAATCTCTCCAGATTTAAAGTGCGAGCGCTGTAAACACTGACCGGAAAGCATCAGTGGCTTGCATTCTACAAAAAATAGTCCTGTCTACGTAGATACTGTGGCCACGACTGCACACTTGCAGGCAGCAGTTCAGGCCACTGATGCACCAGAATGCTTGCGAAACCTGCATGTCTCGGCAACACCGCATCAGTCGGGCTTGAAGTCTGAGGTGCACCCAGTAACCGCCCGGTTTCGCAGGCATTCATTCAAGGTCCCCCGAGGTCGCGACCTGCCGTAAAGAAGAAGCTTGCTGCAAGCTGCTTGATGCAGTCATGCCCGCTGTCTGAAATGTTGTTGGAACAGCGGGTCGAGCTGACGGAAGAAAAGAGCAAGCTCTCGTTCTGCAGTTTTGCTTCAAATGTCAGGCCCACAGTCTCTAGCAGTTTGCCTGAGCTTTTTGCTGCCAGCCCAGGAAGACTTCGAGGGCTATTGCAGCACCTCACCTGCAGTGGAAGGGCCACGGATTTTGACAGGCTCGAAGGCAGATGCTGGGCGATATGTTCGGTTCGGCGGCTGGCACTGTCTGCACTGCAGTTCATCGCAAATTCTGGGAGACGGCTTTGAGTAGGTTCTAATTGTGGTGTGGGAAGGGAGCAGCAGGTTTTATTTGAATTACACTTGCTGAACCACGTCCCGTCCCCTCGAATAAGGTCGCATGCGCCAGAAGTGCACCTGGGGAGGCCACGTAGAGGCGCGTGTCTTGTTCACCGTGTTAGGCTGTCATCTTCGGTGCAGTCGTGTTTGTCCGAGACTTTCCTTGCTCATGCAGTTTAGTCAGTCCAGTATTGAGGCTCAATGCTAGCTGTCTCGATGGTGAAGGAAGCAATCATGCTTTCTGCAGCCGAGTCTCCACCAGTATCTGATGTTCCCTATCTGATGTTCCCGCGACCAGGTCCAGGCATTGGCACGATTGAACGGAGTCAATGCGGCACCTTGCCTCAAGCCAGAGAAAGAAAATCTGTGATTTCTCGCAGCAGCTGGCTTACTTACCCATTTACGTACTTGCTTGACGGCGTGCATGGGCTTTCCGCCAAGTTCCCCGAAATTTATCGACCCACATGTAGACACGTTTGAGGTCATCTACCAGCCTTCGCAAGCATCTGGCAAGCCTGACCAGATCCTGCGGTCCGCAGTTGAGATTATTGCGAGCTCAGAGGATGCACGTTGTGTGCAGCCCCTTGGTTTGGCAGGCATGGCGGTATCAGCAGCGTGCACCGCAGGGTGTCGGGTTCATGTAGAATTAGAACATGCGAGGAAAGTTTTTCCCCAAACAGCGAAGTATTGGGGTTCTCAATTTGTGCAAAGACAGGGTTAGTGTGACGCGCCTGACTGGGGACTAGCCGGATTTGTGTCCCGTCATAATCTCAATTTAACCTGTTGTCTCTGCTCTGTCTGAGTCTGGGAGCCGGATGCTGTGACACGCCTCGCCGGGGACTAGCCGGATTTGTCTCCCTTCATAATCTCAATTTAAACAAGTTGTCTCCGCTGTTGTGTCCGCTCTGTCGGAGTCTGGGAGCCGGATGCTGTGACG